TTTCAGCCGCGCCACAGAGCGCCATCTGATTAGTTTCATGTTAAATATCATTCGAATGTGCGCGTCTGGTGTGCGATACTTTAATCTGTCATGTACGCGCCGTGTCGCGGCGCCGAGCGGCGCTTCTGGTGTGCGACCTGCTTTAGAGTTTTCCAGCTCTTTTCATCCCCGCTTCTAGCAGCACACTCCATTTCCGCATTACTGGATCTGTAGCAACAACAGACTGCAAGGGATGATGGACAAGCATGGGCTGATGGCAATTGTAGTTTTCGTTACCTCCCGTTCGCTTCATTCGCCTGAGCAAATTTTCTCAGAAGACCTATAGTTTTACAGAGTCATGCGACTTCGGTAATATCGAAAAAAATTAATATTGCGGTATGACGGTATTTACAATACCGTTACATCCCTAGTTTGGACTGTGGGGGAAACCGGAGCACCCGGACGAAACCCATGCCAACATGGGGAGAACATGCAAACTCCACACAGAAACACCAACTGAGCCAACTGAAGCTCGAACCTGCGACAGCACTACCTACTGCACCACTGCGTCGCCTATTTGCTAAATTATTAATAATGATTAGCGGACTAATTGTGGTTTGGCACTTTCACTTTCATTCAGGAGTATTTCCTGCATGCCCCCCTGACAAACCTGATACTGTACGCAGGAACTGTGCAGTGTATTTTTAATGGAGTGTTTGATACTGCATGGCAAAGGGAGAAAAATAAACCTCCGCATTTCTCTGTAACTCAGATGCACTTGGTAGGTAGCGTCAGAAAGCCCCGCGTGTATAGACTATCCTTTCACAACATGCGGCGAAAGTCCTACATGACGGTAATAGTTTGATTGCGGTGTTTACATGTTTACACTCTGAGAGCAGCATTTACAACGGATCTTTCAGTCCATAATATTGTAGTGATATTAACCTACTGTACATTGAGTAACTCAATCATTTAGACTAAGGTCCATCTTTAAACTAGGCTTGGGCGGTAACATGGTAATATGGTATACCGCAGGATCTAAAAATAGCAATGGTATTAGTTTTAATGTCATTATACCGTCATAAAAAACAATGCACTTATATAGGAGACAAGTATTAAATATTAAATATAATTTAATCTTAAAAATGTGTTTGTGTGATTGTCATCACGGGACAGTGTGGAGGAGAGAAAGAGGTGAGGAAAGATGGCAAGTCGTGCACCAAGTGACCAGGGGCCTCATGTACGAAGACTTGCGTGGAAATCTTACTAAAACATTGCGTACACACAAAGCTGTAAATGTGCGTACGCAGAAAAAAATTCAGATGTATGAAACACTGCGTACGCCGAATCTCACGCATATTCTTTTGTACATCTGAATGAACGTGAAACTGAGCACAACATGCACGAGCACAAAACCCCTCCCTGCCTCCTCCCCCGTATGAATATGCTAATGACTCTACTTTGGCAAAACCCAATGAAAAAGCAACGGCAAAAGCAAGCAAGAAGAGAAACTTTGAACAGAATGTGAATTGGAGGTGCTGCTTTCAGAGGTAGACCGGAGAAAAGCGGTGTTATTTGCAAGTTTGTTCTCCGGAATTAACAACAAAAGAAAAAAATAGAGTGGGAGAGTTTAGCTGATGCGGTTAACACAGTTGGGTCTGAACATCGCACTGAGTGCATTAAACAAGAAATGGTGTGATTTATAGCTGTAAAATGTTGCAGTTTCTCGTACAGTCTCAGTGGCGCAGCTCATAAGACGCAGGTCAACATGTTTTGACACGTTCGAGCATGAACTCGGTTCAAATCCAGCGTCTGATGAACTCTTTCTTCTTTTTTCCCGCTACATATCAGATTTTGCCAACTATTTATCACGAGAAAGACAAGTAGGAATCATTAAGTTTGTGCATCATATTTTATTTGCATGTTTATTGAATGGAAATGTTTCTGATTCACGCATGCAAATTCATCTTCAGATAGTGTCTTTATAGCAATGTGTGTGCGGTAGATCGCTCAGATTACATTGAGAAAACAGGCGACCGCTGCAGATTGTGCTTTAATGTTTAGCTGGTCAACTGTATGGTATGGAAACCTTATATACCTGCTAGATGAACCCGTCTCATACAGCTGCCATTGCAAGGCTCAGACACTTTGTAGAGAGGAATTTAACACAACTGCCTCTAGGAGTCGCCAATGGAAATAAAACAGACACGCACAAAAAATGTGCGTACGCCAGCCAGAAAGCTGCCGTGGAGCTGCGCACATTCCCACGCTCAGTTCATTGTTAGTAAATCCAAACGTGAGCGATTCTGAGCGTGAAACCTGGCGTACGCAAAGTTTTTGTGCGTACGCAGCGTTGATACATGAGGCCCCTGGTCTTGAAAAAGAACACAACCTCAGCAGTTTGGGAATATTTCGGGTTTTGATCAAACGAATAAGGAGAGGTAGTAAATATGAAGGAGACAATCTGCAAATTGTGCAACAAACAGGTGACCGCAAACCTAAGGTCGCATATACGGTATTCAGTTTCTCAATGGATTAGTCACAAGCCAACAGTTTGATGACACTGTCTGAGCCTTACATCATCTTTTTTTAATATGCATGGTAAAACCGTATACCAAGGTAAAATAGAGAGGAGGTTTGACAAAATCAAAATTTGGATACCGCCCAAGCCTAGTGTAAACACTGAAAGAGTACTGCTGACGAGACGAACTAACTTTGCCTCTGAATAAACATAAACACAGAGCACTGATCACACACTGACCACATCTGTAGAGACAGGACAATCCACACCAGCTGGAGCTGCGTCTTTATTAAGAGGAGATGAGCAGCAAATCCAGATTTCACCATTTCCAGATGAGAAAAGCTCTCGGGTAAACAATGTTCCTTACAGCCGTATTCCTTTCGCATGTTAGCAGATCACTGTAATCCACACGTGAGTCCAGCTGCGCTCTCATAGCGGGAGAATGAAAACAAAACCTTCTGCAGCACATTATAAACACAACACTGACGACCCGTATCTCCAGACAATTCTTCTTCCACTTGTTGTGATTACTGTTGGCAACATGGCGTGGCGTCTCTCTGAACACTGTAACAGGTGAAAACAGTCTTCACCAGCTCTATCATGCATATTAAGGAAGCTGCACCTCATTCACAATAGAGCGCGCTGATTGGTTCAGACCAAGTCTTTCTCATGAACTAACGCTGAATGCTCAAAGACGTCACGTTGTACCAGCCGCTACAGACATCGAGCGTCCACGCTTGAATTTACTCAAGGATCTCATGGCCGTGACGCAGCTTCAACATTTATTTTCAGACCGGAAGAACAGCAAAATCAACCAATTTTCCCTTGTTAGCTTAATATCTGTGTGCTAACAGTGTTTATAGCAGCGCGGGACACGTATATGACTGTCAACATCTCAACAAACGTGTTCTGGTGTTTCATGACCTTTTTAAAACTTAAATAAATTGAATGAATTAAATAAGTAGTTATAAAATTGTCTGTTTATACATTTAAAAACATTAAATACATTGTTTTATTGCTTTATTGAATTTACACATTTAAACAGTTTGAAGAGACTCATTTAAATATGTCTGTTTATTTGTTCATCTAAATTATGATATAATTATATACATTTTTATGCTTTAATAATTAAATTGATAATTCCTTTCTTTTATTTCTAACCGGCATGCCTGATCCTCCAAATATCAGTATTATAATAAGAGGTTTCTTATTTATCATTTTACACTGTAAACAGAATCAAAACATGATACAGAACCAACTAGTCCCACCCCTGAAAGAGGATATTCTGAAGAAACTTGGAAACCTGTAACCACTGACTTCTACTTCTCTACTATGGATGTCAATGGTTACATGTTTCCAGCAAACCAAACGATCGCGATACAGACCAAACTGACAATTCTGCCCCCCCCTAATATTCATATATTTAATTTTCACCCATTTCTCCACAGGAGGTGCTTCACAGGAGCCACAGTCTAGCCTACAGCTTCCTGCAAACACCGCTCTGCCGTTCATCATTCCCAGAATACATTCTGTTCCCGGACGAAACGGCTTCACCTTCGCCAGCGCTGCGGCTCCCGGAGTCCAGAATAACTTACTTAACAAAACCGGTACGTTCTCCTTCCGCATCTGCCCGCCCTCAGCCGAGAGCCAGAGTCCCGCACCGACAGGAGCACCTCAGGGCTCGGTCACCGCCTCCACACTCATTCTCCCTGGAGGATACAAACTCATAAAGCTGATCAACCCAGCAGAGAAACCAGATCAGAACAACCCAGCAGAGGAACCAGATCAGACCATCCCAGCAGAGGAACCAGATCAGAACAAGCCAACAGAGAAACCAGATCAGAACAACCCAACAAAGTACCCAGATCAGAACAACCCAACAGAGAAACCAGCTCAGAACAACCCAGCAGAGAAACCAGATCAGAACAACCCAACAGATAAACCAGATCAGAACAAACCAACAGAGAAACCAGCTCAGAACAACCCAGCAGAGAAACCAGATCAGAACAACCCAACAGAGTACCCAGATCAGAACAACCCAACAGAGGAACCAGCTCAGAACAACCCAGCAGAGAAACCAGATCAGAACAACCCAACAGAGAAACCAGATCAGGGCAACCCAACAGAGGAACCAGATCAGGACAACCCAACAGAGGAACCAGATCAGACCATCCCAGCAGAGGAACCAGCTCAGAACAACCCAACAGAGAAACCAGATCAGGACAACCCAGGAAAGAAACCAGATCAGGACAACCCAACAGAGGAACCAGATCAGAACAACCCAACAGAGGAACCAGATCATAACAACCCAGCAGAGAAACCAGACCAGGACAACCCAACAGAGAAACCAGATCATAACAACCCAGCAGAGAAACCAGACCAGGACAACCCAACAGAGAAACCAGATCATAACAACACAGCAGAGAAACCAGATCAGGACAACCCAACAGAGGAACCAGAT